AGCTCAGTAATGCACGCTCAGATTCAGCTGGCCAGTCGTGTTTTAAAAATCATTTTTGTAAGCTCCCATATTTGTGACTGTTTTGCACTTTTGTTATTCGAATGGCACTAACCGAAAGGGCTGCTATGGGACATGGCAACTTCGCGCCGATTTTCAGAGGATTTGTTGCCAAATTCGAATTTTCATATCTTTTTGTTCTCCACTCTTCCCCACAAGCGAAGGCACTATTAGACGCGTTATTGTGTACTGGCACTTTACCCATTTGGCAGCTTTTTGCCAAATTTTGACATTTTTCTCAAAATATTAATATTTCCATTTTTGGACTGCTACGCGAAGCCTTGCCCACAAGGAGAAGCTTCGCCCAGTTCCAAGAAGTTCCACCCATTTCTGGGAAATGGTGCAAATCGGCGGTATAGAGTCTCAGCTTGCATGCTAGGGTCTCGTCCTTCAGTCGGAATAAATCAATCAGGCGAAGTTCGTTCCGCGTGACCAGAAATATCCTAGCATGCAAGCTGAGACTGTATACTACCGATTTGCTATACTTCTGAGAAGTGTGCGAGGCTTAAAGTGGGTGGAGCTTCTTTAAGTGGGCGGGGCCTCACGTAGCTGTCCAAAGTGGCAAAAATTTTGAAAAATATCAAACGTTGCAAAAAGCCACAAAATAGACGTCACCGAGGGGGGTGGCCCAAATAGTCAGCGTATAAATGCGCGTCTACGAGTACCTTCATTGTGTGAAGAGATGGAGTGAGGACTAAAAGAAAAGTCAAGATAGTCGATGTTTGCAACAGATCATGGAAAAATGGGTGAAGTCGCCCATGTGCAATCTTTTTCTGCTGGTGTGTATTCGAAATAACAAAAGTGCAAAAAACTCGCAGATGTAGAAGTTATGAAATTACCAGTCGGATCGCACGGCTGACGCCGTGCTCTCCTCCTTCTCTTGAGCTCGGCTTCGCCGAGCTGGCCTGGCTTCGCCAGGCGGCTCCATAATTTTAGCGGAACTTTTTCGGTAGTGCGCTGCTCATAAGGCGCTGTAGTGATCGAATCGTAACAGACAGAGCAAGGCTTAGGATCCCGCACAACTCAGCACGCGCTTCTATTTACAGCAGCGGTGTAGTCCGCGCCATGACGCCCATAGAATACATAAATCTGTAGATAGATACACTGTGTAGTCGGCCAAAACAGCGCAATATGAATCTCTTTTCAGGCGAACTACATACCCCCCGCTCGTCCCATCGACATTATATAGTAGGATAAGTTCATTTTCTAGGGCTATCAGGGAAGTGATGGCTGAAGGAAAAGTATGCACACTGAGCCTTTGATACTTGGGGTATAGTGATAAGAGAGGTAATGATAATGGCCCCTTATCCTTTCTTATCAATTGATCCTGTCACCCGTCATCAATGTCCCTATCACTAAAACTCTATAATTTGGTAGTGTAAAGGCTCCAGCAATTTGACTGAACAGCATTGGCAACGTTCCTTATCAGCCCCTATCAGCTGTTATCACCTCACGTGCCGTGTCCCCATCTCCAACTCTATATCATTTTCTGAAATTAATGCCTAGCTGATGCTGTGTTCCGCGTTATGAGTATGGTGACCTTACCATTCTAACTCCCCTTATCAAATCCTATCAGCTGCTATCATTCCCTGTCACCCATCAATAATGTTCCTGTCTCACGTCCTATATCATACCTTGGAACCAATGTCGCTGTTATTCCTGCACCATCAATAATGGTGTCCCACGTCCTATATCATACCTTGGAACCAATGTCCCACTGTGTGTCCCGCACTATGGACTTGGTCACCCTCCCCTTCTGACGCCTCTTGACGGATCTTATCAGCTGCTATCATTCCCTGTCACCCATCAATAATGTTCCTGTCCCACGTCCTATTATCTTGGAACCAATGCCCCACTGTTACTGTGTACCCGCCTATGTTAATTGGTCCCGCTCCTTCTTCGACCCTCTTGACGATCATCTCTATCAGCTGAGGTATCTTTGTCCCGCACTATGGGCTCGGTCACCCTCCCCTTCTAAGGCCCCTTATCGAATCTTATCAGGTGCTATCACATTCTATCACCCACCAAAAGTGTTCCCGTCCTGCCATGTATATCACTTCTTGGAACTGTCGTCCTATCTTTTCTGCGACGCTCGCTATGAATTTCGTGACAGACAGACAGACAGACGCACACACAAACACACACACTTACAGACATACTTAGCGGATTATATATAGTAGCAAAATTTGAAAAATCACGACCACGCTGAAATGTGGGCGTGGCTGTAGGGGTGGGGCTTGCCACTGTTCAGAAGGGTATGCTTAACTACTCGGATCCGTTTTGAAATTCGTGAATTTCGTTTGAAAGTTGTGATCTTGGTCTGAGAGGTAGATATTTTGCTTAAGAAAGTCGTGAATTTGGTTCGGAAACTTGAGAATTTGGTCTGCAAAGCTGTGAGCTTACAGTGAAAATGGTATATATGGCCCTGCAAAATTGCCTGTTGGAGTGTATGTTTAAAAGGAAATTCATATAAGTTTTTGCGATTCAGCCGCAGAGCGTACAAACTGATAACTGATACGGAAGGCGGGACAGGACATTTTTTGGTGGGTGACACCGAGCGGTTGGAGCTGAGGGAAGGGAACGGTCGCCAAGTTCATAACGCGCTCCAAGCAACTATGTGACGGGTTATCTTCGAACGGATAACTAGGTAAACCGCCCAAGTTTGCGAAGCTTTATCGGACCAACGTTTCGGCTCCTTCGTCAGAGCCTGAGTCCAAAACAAACAATATTTTTCCTATCAGAAGCCTCCATAAAAAAGTGAGACTGGTTCGGGTTTCAGTAGAGCCCATACGGTTTTGACGGATAAGGGTGTGTAAACGTGACTTTGATCTCAGTTACGATGACGCGGGGTCGGCACTCAAGCTGTAGTGAATGCCACCTCCACCCAGCAAACTCTGGTCCTACTTCATGTATGAAACCAAAAAACCAAACCAAAAAATCCAAAGCCATATAGGTGAGCAAAGAGCGCAGGACCACGGTTTATGACCACACAAAGCACTTTCCTTTTCATTTGGGATCTTTCACCGAAATCCAAAAAGCTTCTGGGGTTCCCGCGCAGGACTCTCGGGCTTCTGTCCCAGAATGGACACATTTACCTGGAACTCAACATCCCCATGATACTCAACACGATGGCTACCACTAGCTTCTGTTGTATTACTGTCCCTCTATCCACTGTCCCTCTATCCTCTAGTGCTCAAACATATACAACAGAAGCAGTTATTAGGTTGTCCGGAAAGTTCTCAGCGTTTTGTGCACCTATTTTTTGTACATTCACTGCTGATTAAAAACTCATTCTGCCTTGCTTCTCAGTAGCACATCCTGTAGAGAATTTCTTGCGCTATCTGATGGTGTAATTGCCGTTTCACCATTGCTTGATAAACTCCCCATCCTTTTTCAAGATTTTTTCAAAGCATCGTGAAAAAAGGCACTCGTTCGGACGATTTTTTTCTTCGACTATAAAGTTGGGGCAATCCACAATCGAAACAGCTCAACAAATTAACCAGGTGTGGGGGCCCAATAGTGCTAGAGAAAGCACTGTGCGGCAATGGCTCAACAAATTTCGTTCTGGAGATTTCAGCCTTGAAGATGAACCTCATAGCGGTCGACCTAAAGCAATATCTGACGAGGATTTTAGGGGGATTTTGGAGGCTGACCCATCCCAAACAGTTCGAGAGATAGCAGAAGAGCTAGGCCTTGGCAAATCCACTGTTGCAGATGGTCTGGAACGCATTGGGAAGGTGAAAAAACTCGACAATTGGGTGCCCCACAATCGTAGTGACCGGCAGGAATCGGCACGTCTCGAGGTTCCTTCTGCATTGCTTTTGCGCAGCAGAAACGACCTGTTTTGGACCGAATTGTCACCTGTGATGAAAAATGGGTCATGTATGATAAAAGGAGACGCTCCGGACAGTGGTCGGATTTCGACGAACCACCGAGGTAATTTTCAAAGCGAAAGCGCGTTGCTACGAAAAAAAAGATTTCTGGTACACGGCTTTGGTGCCGTCATCGGCTTGTGATCCACTATAACTTTTGTATCACAGGCAAACCATCACAAGCAAAACCCCTGGCTGTTGTAAGAAATCGACCGAATTGTAGCAAGAAAATGTTGTCAGATGACAGGCCGACACTTTATCAAAAGAAAGGTCCGATTAACTGGCATGACAGCACGCCCGCCCTACATTGTTTCACAAATCACTATACCAATAAATTGAAGCGAATTGGGCGGATGTACGGTACAGCCGACCTTTCGCCAACCGACTATCACCTTTTCTAACATTTTCAGAACTTCCTTGCTGGAAAATACTTCATCAATCAGGACCAGGCAAAAAGCCTTCGTGGATTTCGTGAATTTTCGACCACCCAGTTTTTTACTTTGATGGGATTTCTCGACTGCTGTCACATTGGCAAAAGTGTGCTGATTCGAATGGTGCCTATTTCGATTAAATCCGATGAGTATTAAAAAAGTTACGATCGTTTAAAGTGAAACACCCAAAACGCTGAGAACTTTCCGGACAACCTAATAATAAACGAACGTATTTATAATTGATTTACATAATCACCTTGTTTGGCTTGATTCAGTCCTTGGGGACATACTAGCGTAGCGGTATAAGGTAATGTACCGTTAACATTGGCTAGTCTAGGTGCAACAGGGCGGCAAGAGGAGTCATTTTCAACTCCTCTTGCCGCCCTGTTGCATCTTATTTAGAATTGGTATCTGGTATACTTCATTCTAAACTATTTGATCGTGATCGTGTTCCCTGACTAAATTCTCGCGACAATTAATGATGCGACTTTGTGCTGCCTCGCCTCCCGTCGAAAGTACTTTTCTCTCCTCCTACTTAAAGCCCTGCAGGCAACTGCAGGCAAGGTAGGTAACTGCACGAGTCAATGAATTTGAAAAAAAGACAAATACATGATTGACTAATTAGATAGATACAAAATGCCTACATGAAAAGTTCTTTGCTTGGCTTCTTGCCTGGTTGTCCTCTTTCATCAGAAACATAAAACACTGCATTTTGATCGGGAATGAAGAATGCCAGCCACCATCCGAAAGTTGACGTTACGGAAGTGATAAGGAATGATCGGCACAGTCGAGAAGCCAGATACAAATCCATGGCCTCGTCGAATTTCGAAACCAGTGTAGACTAAATGTAATAAGTGACTTGAATGATATGTGTCAGAACGAAAAGGTTCAGTTCAGAACCAGCGAAGCTGTTTGAGGAAACTATTCTAGCACTTACATTCTCCTTCCAATGCCCTTCGAGCTCGATTTTCCGTGCAAGGGTGTGCATGAATATCTGATCATCACCAAACACTGCGAAGCGTGAAATGTTCTGCAAACTTATTTACTTCGGAGCATGACCATCATTAAATAGGATCAAAGTACTTACAAACCGTGTTGCAATTTTGTTTGTTGCTCTCAGCGTTTCATTTATATTTGTGGAGACATTGAGCTGAACGAAATCCGTGCGTCTCACATGTATGCATAATGCGCTGTTTTGTGCACTACAACGGGCACTCCTTCAATGAAAGTCAAACGCGATATGGAGGAGTCAAGGAAGTTTCCCGAATCTGTTGTTGCATTGAGATGAGCAAGGTAACGGCAAACATGCAACAGTAGGCTGATGTGCACGGTACTGAAGTGAAATTCTTGAAACAATCCCACGTTGGCTAGCCGATCCTCTTATGTTCCGTTAGGTCAGAAAAACAAAATACCAGGAGCCATTATGCGTGAAGAGGAGATGAGAGTCCGGTTTTCGAGCTGTAGCAATTGACACAGTCTTCCTCAGAAGGGGATGTTCAAAGTCTCCAATGATGCCAAGATGGCTGTGTCAGATTGTGCCCAGCGGGAAGTTCAGGACGAAATCGGTAAACATGTACCCCCTTTGCGACTCGGAAGTTCGCCGCAAGACAGGTTTGTGGATGATGACTGGCCACGACCTCTTATAAAGGAGGAAGGCTACTCCGAGTGCCGTGTCCCTTCTGTGTGCTCTTTCACCCTTTGCTGTCTGGTTTCTCCTCGAATACTCAGTGTCTGGTTCCTTCCCGTATGATCGCTCATTTTTGAAATGAAGTAAGATAAGAGAAAAACTGCCTTGCTCGGTGCTTTCTTGATTGTTTCCGTTGGTAGTCTACAAATTATTACCACCAAACTCCGGTCCGGGTTCCTCTAATCGCAACATGCTCCCTTGAAGTTTGTCTTCAACTTGTATTTCTCATAATTTGATGTAATATTGAAGGGACTTTTACTTTTCCCATGCATTGCTTCTGAAAACCAATTGCCGCACTAAGTTTGCTCTGAATAACCAATCCTGACATTCTGCGCACTAACGATTCCAAATCGATCACATCAGTCGGGTGAAACGGCTTCTTTCTCGGCATTCAGCCAGACCCTCTCAAGCTGAACAAGACAGACGCACACTGTTCCCGGCCTAATTTTGTTTTCAAAAGGTCAATGTGATATAAACAACGTATGAACAGCGTTCCCATATAAACAACATTCCACAACGACCGTGATGGGTTGATGCATGTCTGCAGTTTTTTGCATAAAGTAAAGAAGTTTAGTTGTAGGCAAAAGCAGATGATTCAGAAAACTTATTGAGACTCCTAAGATGATAATAATTAAAAAAGCACATTTTTAAGTCGGTAATGATTCGATTTCCCGTTTCGCGAATACCTGACGAAAACTGTAGGTGCCAACGGACATCATTCAAGAAACCATCAAAGTATCGTGGATTTTGACCATACATAAAATTTAGGAGTAAGAACTTCGCAGACTGGTTGAGGAGCCTTGAAAGAATCTTGCAATTGAAATCATTTTTGCCACTGGATAGTTGAATCCAAAACTGTTAGCTTCGTGAAAAGAGACTTCCACTTTGTTGGAACAAGGCATCTATGGCGAGTGTTTAGAGTGAACAGCAAACATACGCTTTAGCTCCATGGGTTGAAAAAGAAAGACTGCTATATGTTAAACGTTGTGTTCGTCACAAATCAATCGCTCCAAACGCCGGGATTATGAAACGCTGCTCCCGTGAAGTGATGTAGGGTAGAACATAATTGATGGGTGACAGTGATGACTACAGTCGATAAGATCGGGTAAGGGCGCCGGTTCCAGAAGGAGTGGTTCTGAGATATAATATAGGGTATCGGGTGGCATCATTATTCGTGAGTGACAGGGAATGCTAACAGCTGATAAGATTTGATGAGGGGCATTAGAATTCAATCCCAGACTTATAGCACGCGTCGTACTAACAGAGGGATGTTGCTTTCAATTGGCGATATAGGTAATATGAGGATAGGAGTATTATTATAGGAATAAGGAGGGATAGGAGTATTATTGATTGGTGATTGGAAGGGATAATAACTGATAGGAGCTTGTAATGGCATTCTTCTTCCAGGTGGTACAGCTCCAAACAGTGCCGAATCGTAAAGGTTCAGTGATTGATGGACTACAGGCGATGATTTAAAAGAATGCTGCTAGGGATTGAAGTGTTGAATATTGCAGGCTTATTAGTGTCACTGGGTAAACTAACTCCTTCAGCAAGGGGGACGAGTATATACTGCGCGCAAAACGGAAAAATCAGCAGTCTGCAAATTTGGGAGCTACGTACGCTTCCTGTTGTATTCTCTGCAAAAATGATGTTGCAGGAGGGATAAGTAAAAGTCTCTCCAAAAAAGGGGAAAGAGGTGATAGAAGTTAACCCTGAAGAGTTCCTCTTACAATACATGCGCCAGCCAACTCATAGATGATAAGTAACCAATTTTACCACAAACGTTCGGCGTATCTGCTCTTTTCTTTGACTCCACCCTCAACGCGAAATGAGGAAATAAGACCCGCGTCGTCTTGACAACTGGGCACGAGGGTGCACAAAATGGTAGTTTTCTTTCCTCACGATTTTTCATTTACAGAGCAACGCAGAAAAGCAATTGAGGAAAGGCGTAAGCCATTCTAAACCACTTTTCCTTGCTGTGACTGTCCGGAACAAAATCGAGAACATCCAGGGTTTGCCAATGTTGATAATCCCTAATGGAAAGGGTGTTACTGATTCTGAAAAAAGTATTCGCGTGTATTCCAACCGCCATCAGAAGAGCTTCATCGTGACAGATTGGACATTAATTCTTCATTTTCATAACCGATACTGCTGACATTATACCCTGGTTCGCTGTGGATGAAAGGAGCTTCCAGGCAGTATTACTGTGCCACGGCACCAAACCCGTTACCTGCCGTCACTTGCTCACTTGCACTTTTCAACAACTGATAGAGAACAGGTTTAGCGCCGCCCCAAACTCATCCCGCCTGCGCTTCTTCTCCCGCAGCGAAGAGTTTCACCTTCCTCGAGTTCTTCTGAGGCAGTGCACTTTGCTGACTATCGTGTGATCATTATGAGCAAGTTTAAGAGTAGATCTGACTTCCACGCCGCGTACCTGAGCATCTTGCCTCGTCTGGTTGTTCACACGGTGCCTTTAGTCAGGTTGACTGCGAACCCTCTTCATTAGATGACCGAGACTTCCGTGCATTGGCTTGACGTAGCTGACTGTGTTTTTCCTCAAGACGGCACTGTCCTCGTTTGCCACCGAGATGTTGTGCCTGTTAGCTTAATGGGGAGCTTCGGAACAGCGGACAAGCTGCTCTATACGGAGTGCGCACTTTGCGCTGTTACATACATTCACAGTGGAGGAAAGCTTACTTAAGAATTCAGGAGAATCCACATGTTATCGATGGCTCAGTTTTGAAGAGTCACACAGCTTACTGCCCTTCTCAAACTGCTGCCATCCCCGTGTCTCGTTTACTATTGACTTCGAGACTTTAGGAATTATGGCGATTTAGTGGTCTTGCTAACTGCTTCTGCTCATTAAAAACAATTGGACAGGTTCAGTTAAAAGTAGCACACCTCGAGGGATTGTCGTAACGGCAACACGATCCTGCAAACGGTATCCGCGTTTCGTTAATATCACCCTGAAATTCGCAGCAACATAAAAAACTCAGCATAAATTTTACATATCATGTGAATTTCCGCTTTAATTTGCTCCTGCCCCACTCTCAATGTTATCAGAATTGCTGTGATAATGGACTGCAATGAGACGAACAGGTATAAGATGAGGAAAGATTGAGTGTACAAGTTGTCGAAAATCGAGTGATTTGTTGGATAGATGTTGGCCGATAGTGAGAAACAACTCACAATAACAATAAGAGAAAATTATTAGTATTTGGGTTGGAACTGTGCAAGCCAGATCCATCTCCATTCCGAAGGTGACTTTCAAGATTGGCTGGCTACATGACAGAGCGAGGCAGAGAGTGAGAGTGTTGGCACCGGACTGTACTATCCTTTTGTCCGGTTCCGTTGCAGTTTTGAGCAGAGAGAGTGGCATGCTACTGCAGCTGCGGACGCATTCCCCTCGAACATGGCAAGGATAAGGATACACAGAGTGCAATTTGTCGTTGAATAAATACAGTCAAGTATTCCCACTGTCTAAGGTAGCAGAGAAATATTGACGCCCATTGTTGGGGGCTGATTTCAGAATCGAGGTGCGATTTCCTTACTGACTGTGGTGCCTTTTCATTGCAATTTGTTTGCTTTCTACTGAAGAACTTTATTTCACATTTGAAGTCTGAATTAGAATTTATCTAAATCATAAAGGGATCGCGCGCCTGCCCTCAAGCAATCGTTCCAATCAATTTGAACTGCGTTTTCAGACCTGTGGAGGAATTTCAGTCTATGGGTAGCTCACAATCTCTAGTCTGTCATTTCGGAAAGAACTTCCGTAAGTGAAGTATCGTCCAACATGCTCACCATCTGAGGATCTTGGGAACCAGTCTTTCCGAGATAGTCCCCAAGATCCTCAGACCTCAGGACATCTATGTAGGGGTAACCACAGAGGTATAAGTTAGGTTGTGGAAGCGTAGTCCCCTAGTTATCGGCTTCTAAGCTTAGTTGCTTTGTCTGTTCAGAAATTCGTCCTACCTGTAAAGCAATACGAGAGTTCGAATCAGGGTTGTGGGTAGCACGCGGAACAAGGTGTGGAATGCATACATGACCTAAGTTAGGTGCCAAAAGCCAGCGGTCTCGCTGACAATAATACACAACCGTCCTCGGATATGGGGAAAATAAAATATTGTTAGTAAAAGGTTGTCGGGCGAAATGGGGAGACATGACAGGAACGTGGAGAGGCGTACTCAGTGGCAGTTGCTCGACACAAAGGTCCATAACTCGGCCATCGAGAGAGACGGAGTTCAAAAAAAGAGTCGTTGGAGAGAAGGAGTGTCTAGCTAAAATGCTCCAGTGTGGGTTGATCTGTAGTGCTCATGTGGCCCGGGCGGGCGCAAAAAACATTTAAGGTGCTCCCGAAGCACTCCGGAGAGGAACGACTCATTTATTTTATTGGCGCCAAACAACTCTTTCTATCAGTGACCGAAACTTTCCCTGATGAACATATGATATTGGATGGGGAAAAAAGTCCTGCAACACTGTGAACTGATTGTTACAGAAAAAAAATCAGAGCATTAGGTAAGCCCGCAGAGAGTGGCTTTTTTCACGCGAAATATCCTTAAAACAGACTGCAGAGAGGAGTAAATTAGCAGTTCTTGATAACTTGATCGAACACAGGTAGAAGAAGTGAACATATTTGTTGAAGGGGGAGGGGATACATCAGAGACTAGAGAGAATAAGGAACTTCTGAGGAGGACTATGATTTAAAAGTAAATTATGTGAAAGACAGTAGTAAGAAGTGGAATAACAAGAAGTGGTATTACCTGTGGAATAACATATGTCTGTTCTAGGAGAGGAAACACATCTTTGAATTTACGTAAATATCCCATTACATGAGAACGAGACATAGAATTAGGAATGTAGTGCACTCGTCCGAGCGACCTGGCGATACCGTAACCCGTGATCAGATGAAAGAGCTGCAATTGCGTTATCAAACAAAAAGAAAGGAACGAAGATGTTCACAATCCATTGAGACGAATAAGTCAGCAACGCAACCGTAAGGACAGTTGCACCCTCGCACAAGAGACACTTGAACTGGAGACAGCGTAAAACATGTAAAAGCCTTCAGCCTGCCATTAGCTACCGACAATGGGTGGCGTAATGAATAACGCAAACTCTCGAAAAGCGGGAGATGCGAGCCACCTGCAGTCAGGCTTTTATCCATGACTCAGCTCTCTAGTGTTTACTTCCGGAACGCGCACTGCTGCGTTAAATAGCAGTTATCGAACACCATGTCGTGACTGTAGGTGCCAACTTCAAGAATCTTTCTTTTCTCAGGACGCTTAATCTAGGGGAACTAGGGCTGACTTACATAGTAAGAGGTTGAAGCCGCACTAAAGTATAATGGCAGCGTTGCGCTTTTTGATAATTTCCAAGCAAAGTTGAATGATCATA